GATTTCGAGAAGCATACCAGTTATTTTACCAGCTAATTCTGGTTGCATTTGTTGAATCAATAGAAATAAACGTTCACCTAACATTTGTTTTTGTTCTTGTGGTGTTGCATTAGCAAGAGCAGCTGATGTTAATGGTTCTTGTCCAGCAACTACATATGAATTTGGAAATCCACCAGGATTCTACAAAAAAAAAAACAATAATAACATTTTTGTTTTCATAAATATCTCTCGCAAAAAAAGTTTCTACGTAATAGCTAAAGTCTTATTTCATTTAATTATGAAATACTTACACCAGATGGCATATTTCTTGCCGTACGTGTATAAGCTGTTGCTTGTTGTGGTTGTGCACCAGTTTGTGGTCGAATTGAATTATTTGGCATCATTTGTCCTGGTGTTGGTGTTGGTCGATTAGGCATTGGCATACCTGATCGTGATGTAACACCAGCCATAGCAGCTGATCGTTGAGCAGCAGCCATAGCTGATTGTGGCATTTGCATACCAATCATTTGTGCACCTGCTGAAGGTCTCATACCACCAGCTGGTGCAGCTGATGACCAACGTGGTTGAGCTGGACGATAAGTTGGCATAGCCGTTGGTGTAAAGTAATTGCGTGGTTGAGCTGGACGATAAGTTGGCATAGTCCTTGGTGTAAAGAAATTACGTGGTTGAGCTGGACGATAAGTTGGCATAGTCCTTGGTGTAAAGAAATTACGTGGTTGAGCTGGACGATAAGTTGGCATAGCCCTTGGTGTAAAGAAATTACGTGGTTGTGATGGACCCATTGGTGCTTGTAAATAAGGGATCATACCACTCATACCATTTGGAAATGGTAATGGCATTTGTGGTGGTACACGTGATGTTACCATACGTTGCATATGTTGATTAGTTAAATGCATACGACGTTCTTCTTTACGTTGTGCTAATGCAACATAAAGTGGTTTTGAACCAACAATTGAACCATTCATTCCAGTAACAGCTTTTGTTGCTTCATCAGGTGCACTAAAGCAAACAAAACCAAAACCTTTTGATCGACCATTTTCTGACATAACCTAAAATAATAATTAATTAAATTAATTAATAAAATAAATCTTTTAAATTTTACTTTAGCACTTGTAACTGTACCAAATTTTGAAAATTCTTTTTTTAAACGTTCATCATCAATAGTATCATCCAAATTTTTAATATATAAATTAACACCTTGATATTTATTCATACGTTCTTGTCTTTGTAAATCTTTTTTACGTTTAATTTCTGATAAACGTTCATTTTCTTTTTGAAAACGACCAACATAAAGTTGTTTATCACCTACTGAATATCCATTTAAAGCTTGAACAGCCTAGAATATATTATGAAAATTAATTTTTTGGTTGTTTGATCTATTTTGTTTTTTTACTTCTTCAGCTCCTTCTGGATTTTCAAAACTACAAAAACCAAAACCTTTTGATTGTCCACTTTCATCATTTTCAATCTAAATAAAAATAAATTTTTATTGTTTTCTTTTTTCTTTACATAATTTACTTTAAAACTTAAAATTTTTCCATGTTTTGAAAAAAGTTCACGTAATTTTTCTTCATCTAATTGATTACCAATATTTTTTATAAATATATTTGTAAATTTACGTGGTCCACCAGCATCAGCACGTTGATTACATGTCATAAAACGACCAACATAAACTTTTTTATCAGCTAATAACATACCATTAACTTTATTAATAGCATTATCGGCTGCTGTTTGCGTTTCAAAATGAACAAAACCAAAACCTTTTGATTGACCACTTTCATCTGTCATGATCTATATATTAAAAATGAAGTTAAATAATTAGATTTTAATATATATAGTAAAAAATTTTACTTTGCAAGATAATATATTACCAAAAGCCGAAAATGTATCATAAAGTGATTTATTATCAATATTTTTATTTAAATTTTTAATAAATACATTTCCAACACCTGATTTACGTAAAGTTGGATCACGTTGTGACCAGATAATACGTAATGGACGACCACGAAGTAAATCAAAATTCATTGTATCAAGTGCACGTTCAGCTAAAATAAGAATAATTTTTATCTAGTGAAGCATATTTTTCTTCTTTAACTCAAGTATATAAAAACAACAACTATCATATGATGGTACATATATTCTCTCGTTCATAAACTAAAAAGATTTAGAACATACCATCGGCTGGTTGTTGAAAATTAACATATGCATAACCAAGTGATCGTCGTGTAATCATATCACGACAGACACGAATTGATAGAACTGGTCCTGCACTTGCAAATTTGTCGAATAGCATTGCCTCGGTGACATCAGCATGGAGATCACCTTTTTATATAAAAGAAAATTAGGAAAAGAAGGAATAACATTCAAACTAACCCACGTATAATGAGGCCATTGGATAGCTTGGACCTCCTGCTGGAATATTTGGTGCTACAATGTTTTTGTTTTTGTTGCATGGCATGGGTTTTTCGATTTCTGCTGTATCTTCTTAAGGATAAAGTAAAATTCATAATGTATAGATAATATATATATTGTTTTGTGGAACCTAACATATTTTTGGGTATGGGTGTGGGTGAGGGTATTTTCTTCTTTTACATCCAAACCTGGCACCCACATCTACCCACACCCACCCACACCCACACCCACACCCACACATCATCCATACCCCTAGTTTCGGTTTTGACTACTGGAACACTTAGTCCTAGCAATAAGTAACAAGTGAACATCTCATTCTCAAGTTTTGCGTACATATGAATGTGACATGTATGGATATGGCTGGACAATCACAAAGAAAAACGCTAAAAGCTGTCTTACTAAGGAAAACAATCTTTTCTGATTATTTTGGCACTTCAAGTAATAGTCATGATGACAACATAAAGCTAAATTTTTTTGGAAATCGAATAAAATTTCAGAAGCGTGACATTACCTGTAATAACTAATAGGTTTTCTGGCGCTCTAAATAAAATGCAAAAGAGAAAGATGATTAGTGATGAATAGCGACACCATGAAGAAGATTTTTCAATTCTTTTATTGTATACCTGACTAACGGAACAAAATGGTTGGCATAACATTGTTTATTAGAATTCTGTGATTGCTCTTTTCGAGATGCACATGTCCACAATATTGTTATTTTCTTTATATTTTTATCTGGGTTCTTAATTGGCTTGTATGTATAATTTTGTAACGGGTGTAAAGGACAATCGTCAAAATACATCAGTTGAATTCTACATTTCAATGCATCACACAAACCGAGTACATCCCATATCTGAGAATATTGCTTCATTCTTGCCTCGCTACAATATTCAAGTATATTGTCAGCCCCACTTTCCAGTTCGAGATGGGTATAATACTCAATATATTGATCATAGTTCATTACGATTTCGATCAGAGAACGTACACGTAACTCAGATATTGATTCCGTGAGTTTTCCAAGGATTTTAATCGAATTAAACAAGCAGTTACCATCAGGCTCACTCCTTATCGGTACGAGACCTGTGAATCTTGCTTTATCCTTGATGTAACTTTCTGCAGTTTCATCTGTTTGATGGTATCCAGTAGTGAAGTTATTGATAGGGGTAAACGAAAACGATATTTCGGAGACACATTTTTCCAACAACTGGCATGTAATTTTCAAGGCGTCTAAATCACCACGGGTTTTGCATAATCTTTCTGCTCTCTGTTGAAGAGTATTAAGACTTTTATCGAAGAACTGTTTGCGTTCTCTATCTCCTCTGATGCGTTTGCAATTGTCACATATGTACAAGGGTTGATCAGTATTTGGATGACAGAGAATACATGCAAGATCATTGATCATCTAGAAAATAGACTAGATATGATCAATAGTTTGTAAGTCTGAGATTTTGATTTGATAAAGACGAACCATTTCTAAAAGTTTATTTCCATACACTATGAAAGTCAAAGTCGCACTGGAAAGATATTTTCGTAGGACAAAAGACTAACAACTATATGACCTTTTTTTGGACCCATAAGTTTGATTAATTCGACGATTCGGATGATACTTGGGTAATCTTAGAAAAATAACTATTTAATTCCCTTTCTTCATGATTTTTATTCATTAAATGTGTGAGAAAGCTAAAATCAACAACGTTCGATATCGACTATTGGTCGTATAAATCTCAAAACTTTGTGTCACTACAGATAATATTTGAGAGAAATTTACATGATCTTGTTGCAATATAAAGATGTTGTATTTTAATCGTTTAACGAAGCCAAAGCATTTATTGAAGATGAGCTTTTGGCCAAGGACACTTTCTTAAAAGAATAATTTTATTCATACTTTTTTCAATTTTAAATTAAAAACGTAAATATAGATTTACGGAAGATTAGCAACTAGACACTAGTCATCTATCAAATAAAATTTCTATATGTTTTTTTGTGAATAGTTTACTGAGTAAATATTCATGGAAGGACTGACGTATTCTAAAATGATTCAAGACTTACTAATTTTTCTTGTATGGCCATTATCAACTAAATCAATTTTATGTGTAAAGAATTTAACAGGTCAGAAGTATGGTTTTTGTAAATTTATACAGAAAAAAATCCATTGATATATTAGAAAGATTTTCTTGACTATGTTGTACAATAATTGTTCAATCAATTACAAAAATTATCTACTAAATTGTTCAAGTTGATATTGATTTTTGAGCTCCTCGATAGTTGCCTTGGCATATTTTTCGTTGTGTTGCTGTAATTCCTTGAAATAATCCTTTGGTGCTGTTTTTAAAAGATCACCTTTATTTGTTGATAATGCATCGTTTGGTTCTGGTTGGAAAAGCAAACTAGTGATTTGCTGAAGTACATCGTACATAGTTGTCTGTGATGTCCAGTGACTACGTAAGATTTCATGACAGATTTTTCCATCATCACTAATATTGCAATGATAAATGGGCGTTATAAATCGAATTTCTGGTGGTCTTAACGGATACATCTGCGATGGAAATTCGACAGATAAGAGCCATGTATAACCATAATAGCTGGTACCTATGGGACCTTTCATGATTATTTTCCAAAAAAGAATATTGTCTTTACAAACAAAGATAATAAAATCTTCTAGCGATCTTTGCTTCAAATTGTTTGCTTCCCGTAAAATCCGGCCCAAAGTTTGATTCGATACTGCTATGTCTTTTACGGAAGCTTCTACCAAATTTATTGCTGGAACATGAAGGGCTTCTGGTTCACATAATTTTGGCTCTTTAACAACTCCATAGACATTTTTATCGCGCCTCTTCACAACCATTGCCGGTTCTCGTTCAAACAAGCTGATTAAGTCTTTTTCTAAATGGGGTATTGGAAAATAATAATATCCCCTTGACGATGTGCATAGATGCACAAGCGACTGTGCCTTTTTGCTGCTGAAGCAAATACTATCAAAAATGACATTTTCTTGTTCAAGTTTCTCGGCAGTTGTCGATAATGTCATTTCACTACAAGTATCTTCACCATCAGAAAGACAAACGATGAGCTTGTGGTATTTAGGATTCATTTTGCTTCTGTGTTGTTCATAAAACTGGTTCATTATTTTCAATGCAAATTCAATCGCATCATACAATGGAGTTGACGAACCACAATCCGGTCGAGAACTAAATGACTTTTCAAAATCATTAAAATTATTGGTAAGTGAGCAGCCTTCATAGATAAGTTGAGTTGTTGGAGTTACTTTAGCACCACAGTAAATAAGACCTATAACATGTGGTAATCGGTTGGAGCAGAACTTGTCACTCCATACACCTAGTGCACTAATGCTCAAATCAAGAAGACTCTTGGAATTGTTCGCTGTTATATTTTTCATCGAACCGCTGACATCGAATAAAATAACAGTTAACTGCTCGATCGGACGCACATTCCAAGCATTATCACGTACCGATATATATGAATATTGACGTAAAATATCATCTGACGCCACTTCATCCTTTTTAAAATGTTCTTTTTTTGAATCAAATGGATCGTAGGCAGTGAAGGAATCTTTGCTGTTCTTGGCAGGATTAATCATGTAAACTATACGTCGTGGTTTGTCAAGTAGTACAAACTGCATACTATTGTGCTTGGATAGCTTTGACGGACGTGCAAATGTGAAAGAGCTGTACAAATCATTGCTCGAAAGTTCTTCTTGTATCTTTTTCACATCATCATCATTCAAATGAACAATCTTCTTGTGTTGTTCGAAAATATTGCCAATTGAGAATAAATGCTGGTCCTCTGTTGGTAACCATATTGTATACTCTCTATCGAAGTAAAACAAATCTTCAACAATTTTGTTGGTCAAATATTGTGATTCATCTCTATTTTACGAAGTTTCGTTTCCTTGCTACTTGCAATTTTTTTCATTTTGTCTGTCAGAATATGATGAGAAATGTTCAGATAAAATTGCATTCTATATCGCTCTGTTAACCTGTTGGCGATGAAGCCCGTAAATTTACGGTTTCACAATTTGAATAGGCTATTAAAGGAATTACTCACTAGTTTCAACTATAGTATATGAGGATAACTTGATGAAACTCACTAGTGACATGCTTGAGGCACTAGGGTATCTTTCGTCAGGCACTATCATTAATTCATATGAATCCAATCATTTAACTTACCATTCAAGAATGTTCTGTTGAAGTAGTATAAATAGGAGGTACCTTTGTCGTATAAATAATATAAGACAGTTCGATAAGATCATATTAAAATCAGTTTCGATAATTGATCATAATTTTAAAAGAGGAGCAATGGACAAAGTTGACATGCAAACTAGCTCTGTTGAATGTTTAAGAAAATCTGTCAAATCGTATAGAAAATTAGTTTTTTCGTATGCTTGAATTATTAGTCCTCAACTCATATTTGCTTTACAAAATGAAAACTGGAAAGAGTCCTCAATTGGTAGACTTTCGTTTACAACTTATACATGAAATTTTACAAAGCTGCCATAATAGAACAACTACAATAGGGCGACCTGTACAAGACTGTAAACCAACTAGACTTACTGCTCGACATTTTCCGTCTCCTGTGTTTCGAACAACAGAAAAAAAGATTCTCAGAAAAGTTGTGTTGTATGTGCGTATACTAATAGAAGATCTAAAAACAGAACAGATTCTCGTTACATGTGTAAAGATTGTGATGCGGGTCTTTGCGTAGTTGGTTGCTTCGAGGAATTTCATACATTAGTAAATTTTTAGTTTTTTTTTCTGATGTGTTATTTTTTCATTTCAAAATAAACCAGTTGCATCTTTCGATGAAGTCCAAGTGCAACAATCATGACCATTAATAACATTCAAAGTATAGTTAATTTTATCAACACAATTTCAGTTTTTTATGAAAAAAATAAGTCCACCGTCAGCAGGTTAATCGTTAAAAGTGACCTAACTTACTTGTTCTTCTGTCTCTTCTATATTGTCTAACTTCTATGATTTTTACCAATCATATGTGACATAGTGAGATACGTTGGTAATACGGTTCATATCGGTGCATCAAATTACGGCTATTCATATTTGCAAAGGATGATGAATAGTGGGCACACTATTCAGCGCTAAATGGAAATCACTTGCATAATAATTTATGTCACAGAATTTATGCTTCTCTCTTCAGCAGTATACAACTCGCGACTCTCAGGACAGCTTTCGCAGACACTCCATAGTGTATTGAATAAGAGAGTTTATTACTCTTCTAATAGTAGATTTCCATTATGCATAGCGTCATGGGGTTTTTGTGATAGCAAGTCGACCTCATTACGAAAATGTCCTTTTTTAGGGTAGAGATAAAGCGTATCGAGATCAGCAAAATCAAAAAAGTAATATGTACGACAAAACTGTTTCCCTTGATATTTTCCAAAGATCACACTGCTGAAACACAATGGCAAATGCATAAGTTGAACATGTGCATTGCAGTAATGTTCCTTGTAGAATAGATCTCAGATCATATGTATCCAATTATTTTATGAATATAAGTATCATGATATTTCGACAGTGAGGTCTTTGAAAAATATTAACAGCAACATACAGGTGTGGGTGTGACTGTAGCTGGGGTGAGAAGAATATTCATACCCACATCCCATGATAAAGACAAATAGTTATAAAATTTTAGATATATCATGAGACTTTTCATACTTAATAACTTTTTTTGTATTCAGCGGTTGAATAAAGATATTTGTAAAAATTTACTTAGCTTGAGCAAATGAAGATTCAAAACTAAATCTCTATCCTGAAGGAGTTTGTTTTCTTTGTGCATATGAATTTCTTGAGCAAGAAAGTCATCCGGTGTGGAAAGTTTTTGATATACGTTTATACCATGCATATGAACCAAAAATGCCAATATAAAAAATGACAACTGGGAACTTCAGCCATTTTTCTTGTTCAACTTCTTTATCATGAATAAACGATCGACTTAGAAAAAGGTATCCACTGTTTTTGATCATTGTCATAGTGGAATCTTTTTCGTAATGCGCGTCAACTTGAGCTACTTGGCCAAAACAATCACGTGATCTGTACACATCCTGCGGTCTGTGCATGTCAAGCACATAGAAAAAATTGTCTACGGAAATCATTCCGAATCGAACTGTACTTTTATGTGTACTTGACCTGTGCAGACCTCAAGAATTGTTCATTGCACATGACTTTCTTATTCAACAAACTCAAGAAAACCACGCTCATGGGAAAAAATTTCATGAAAACAATGACTAAGAGTGATAGATATATTTTCGCAAGTCGAAAGTTTTTTCAGAAGGAAAACGTTTGATCTAGATATTGACTGAAACTCGAAACTACCCTTTTTTTAACATAGAACGTTTTTTCTTATGCGCATGACATGCGCAAATCTCAAGATTTCCCCCTACCGCATTATTTTCTTGCTCGAGAAGCTAAAGTTTATGCAAATGAGACAAGAAATTTGACTAGGGATACAATTTTGTAAACGTGCAAAATTCTGATTTATGGTAATATCCCACTCACGATGAATGCAGTGCGCATTCTTTTACGAAGAATTTTTCACTGTTTCATTTCTTTTTATCCTAAAATATGCTTCTTACATACAATATGTGGAATGCAAAATATACTCACGAAATCTGCCTGTGCTTTTCGTTTTGACTACAGTCTTTTAGGTACTTCATAAACATCTTCAAGTCCGTTTGGTTAATGTATTGGTCTTTCGTTTCAGTAGATTTATTATCTAATTCCATTAAGGTAAACTTTCCATTTGAGTTATCCAGCTTCATAACAGGATTGTCAAAATAAATATGACTACCATGTTGAGTATCGGCTGCCGCGCACAATTTGCAGAGAATAATTTGCTCATAGTTATCATTTTCTTTTGACGCATACTGAGCTTTTTCAAAATTTGTATAAAGAATATAAGGCGAATACAAAAAGACTTCGTTGTCTGGTACAGTCTTTGGAAGACATTCACGAAAAAGCCTGTATAATGCTTCACTAAGCAGTTGTTTTTCAAAAACGAACAATGCGCCTTCAAGCATATGCTTGAAAGCAAGACAAGCAGGGGGAAATAGAGTTTGGCGGAGTACAATGAGAAAATGGAATGAATGTGTTGTATTAAAATCAACATTATCAGTATCAGGGCCAGTGCCAAAAAGTGATGTCAATGCATATAAGCTGAGAAGATAGATAGACATAGCATCATTCGTTTGCTTTACGCAAGAGGATGGCTCCCATGCTTCAGTAGCGTAAAACATCTCCTTTTTAGACTGATTTTGATATTTAATATAGTCCGTTTCGAATTTCCTTGGACATTCAAACAAATAGAAATGTGGGATTTTACTGTTTTCCCAATTGATAAAATTAGGCAATTTCAAATAATCGCATAGCGGCTCGTCAGATTCCAAAACATGCATACGATGGTTAAATAAAATCGGAAAAGTTCCACTGAATGAGGACAGGTTTTTATCGGCGAGAATAACATGATACAGATCTCGCATTGTCTTGCCGACGTCCAACGTATATTGGAGGTCTTGTCCAGATAGTGTTTGAATACGAATAATGAGAGATTTAGTGTTTGATGATGATTTAAGTTCAAGAAACTCTCCTATATTAATGCCGAACGAATGTAATGTACCTGAGAACGGCAAACAGGAACTTTCTTTGAATAAACGTAATCCTGGTATTGGTTGTAATTCATTATCTTTGAGAAAGTGAGCAATAAAATCTTTTATGCTCATTGTTGCCACTGGGTAAGGATATAAATAATCTACACCCAGATATTTGATTGTTAAATATTGTACGATCGTTGTTGACATCTCCGTCTGATAAACTAGAAGAAAAAGAGTAAGACTGTCTTTACCGTCATTGCATGTAGATATTATTATCCTGTGATAACGATGCACATTAACTTTATTATAATCTGATCTGCCGAAGGGTATGGATGTGGGTGTGAGTGTGAAGAAAAAACCCTATACACTCACACCCACAATCATACGCTTAAGTGCCAATTTCTGAGATAGTCTAGATTTGATGGCCATCAGAAACTAAAATGAATCTAAAAGGATGCGCCTGATATTACATGGTATATCCAGGTACAAAATCTCTTACAGACATGTATCTATATCATAAAAAGGCTATATGAAAGCTATAATATAAAAGATAGTGTAGGTGTCGATGTCCTATGACATGAAAGTTTACTGACATACACACATATCCAAACCTTGAACTGTTTCACAACAACCTTAACAATCAGTAAAAGAATTTAACTTATGCACATTCACCCTAATAGATGAGCCTGTGACGTGCAGCTTGAGGGTGTGGGTGTGGGCGTCATTTAGAAGACCTTACACCCACACCCCACCCACACCCACACCCCACCCACACCCACACCCCACCCACACCCACACCCCACCCACACCCACACCCACACCCCACACCCCCACACCCAGAAATAAGAAAAAAGGAGTGGTAAGACATCAAAAAGGGTTCGAAAACCATTATTTGACCATGATCGCCGCCCCTTTTGGCAAATCGCCATCCCCTCAGTGGTTTTCTCGATCCGCCCCTGGGTGGATGGGGGTGTGGGTGTAGGTGTGACGTGTGGGTGTGAGGATGAGTTTCTTCCTTA